AATGTTCACAATGACAAGGCTAGCCTTCCGATGATGAAGGGATGTGTGCGGTGGGGTTGAATGAGGTACTTATCCATAGTTAGTGCATTAACTACAGTAGATGGTGGTTGGCACGCCACCAGTTTGGAGAAACAGACATGAGCATGGAAAGCAAGCGATGTACTGATGTGGAAGCAGATTTTAGTAACCTGAAAAAAGGCCCACCTGAAGAAATCTATATCAATTTAAGTATAAGATATACTTCCTCCGAAGTCAGACAGACATAATCTATTTGGGCTGTCTGTCAGGAAAAAAAACAAGATTGATGTCACCTAATAGTTATGCTCTTTTCCTTATTGGAAATGTCTCATCAGCCATTGACAACCGTGAAATGCAGCCATGTTAGTCGTTCCTACAGAGTATCAGGACGGACTTGTTGCCTTTTCAACTCTAATTCTAGTGCCTCAGTTTGGTTTTCACCCCTTGATCTGATAAGAGCCCAGTTGGGAACTTGTGGTCCTCAACACAAGGCCCATCTGCTTGTAATCTTCTCCACTGTAAGCACTCCTGAAAGCATTGATGAAGCCCGGCGCACATTTGGGTAAATAAATAGGCTATTCAGTGAAAAAACTAACCGACACAATCATTCCTGAGGAATAAGCCACCAACAAAAACAAACTAGAAGAGGGGGAAAGTCAAATTGTGGTTTCAGACAAACTACAAATGGTAAAAAGCGACATCTGACTGTTTGAACAATCAACTCGATGGACAGCTGCTCGACAAACAGAGTGACAGGGGGGTTCTTCCTACTGAACAGGCTGGATAAATATCCCCAGTGGTGCTAATCAATCACCACAGCCCAGTCACGGCGGGTCAGAGGTGGGCTCGGGTGATTGGAGCAATACAAAGGAAAGAGGAAGTGTAAGACGACGTTTTTTTTTTAAGGTGGAGGGGAGAGGGGGGTTGTTTGGTGACATGTCATCATGTAGAGGAATGGACGAACCTACTTACATTGACCACTGCACCTTCTACGCAATTAGATAGGCAGTAGCAGATGAGGCTGTAGAAGTTAAAGAGGGCAACGTGTGTGTGTGTGTGTGTGTGTGTTTGGCAAAGAACAGATTATTCTGGTTCTGCACTTGTGAATAATGTGCAAAAGATTTAACGTGATACAAAAGCCAGAGGAAGTCGTGGGGACTTTGTGTGCTTGTGTTAAACGATTTATCTGCTATCTTTTGTTATCCGTTTGTGAGGATGTGATTCAGCGGCAGTCACATTATGTCTGCGTGTTGTTGCATACGTTTGTCACTTGATGTAATACAAAGGCCAGAGGAAGTTGGAGGACTTTGTGCGCATGCAGGACAGGATGTCTCGGTTATAAAAGTTAGGCTTCAGGTATTAATACAACTTCAAAACCCTTTTGTTTATATTCAAAAAAGGGTTGCAGAGTCTAAATCAGAGGAGGCAATAGTTGTCAAACTCAAAACAACCTGGTTTAAACTTGATAAGACGGAGTCCACACTGTCCTGCAGCGGTGTTTGAAGGATGGACATCCGGCCTGCTCCTCTCAAACCAAAGTAAACGCCACTTTCTCCCCTTCCTCCCCCCCTCCCAAGCTGTCCGTCAAACGGCTGAGGGCCCCAGGAGCCTCCTCTGCCAGAGTCGACAATGACTCCATTGACACCCCGGCGTCCCATTAATCTTCATTTGTCCCATCATATCCTGCCATTGGTATGGTAATGCCCCGCCCATCTCTACTGTGTGAACTGACAGTCGGCGTCGACGGAGGCAAAGGGAGCGATAAAGGCTGGCAGGGTGCTCAAACCTCAAGGGGGTGTGGGAGGGGGGGGGGAATGTGAGGTGCCTCCATTTGGCAGCTTCCATTCCCAATGTATGTTACAGGTTCCTCATTCAAATGACTTGAACCTTGCTAACCCCCCCCACACACGCACACACAGGAGGTAATCTGATTTCTCAGCTGCCCGGGAGACAACTTCCTGAGAGGGAGGCTTGTGGAAGGATCCCTGGGGTTTCCCCATCTGTCCACTCAGGGCTTGACCCCCTCCCTGCTGTTAAGAGTTTCTTTTCTCTCTCACTCTTTTCCTCTTCATGCATCTTTCTCCTTCTCAGATGTACACACAAACACACAAACACACACACACACACACACACACACACACACACACACACACACACA